CCGATACTAGAAGCCGCCGCCCCTTCATCTTCCCCACTTGTCTTCCCCGGCCTAGAATCGCAGAGGGTGCGTTTTTCTCTTTGCAGGTCGCGGTGAAAGCCACCGCCGGCAGCAAAGGGAAGAGGAGAAGTAGCCAATCCAGATCCACTCGTTCCCGGTTTTTTAATGGCGGAGAGTGCCTGTGGCGTGACGCGTGGGCACACGCGCCGCCACTTTTTCCCTTGACTTAGGAGGTTACCAGTACTGTTCCAGCAAAACTGTGGACCCCATTCCAGTATACCGTGGACATACTAAACAACTCGGAAGGTCAATTCATGACCTCAAACCATTCTTGAACAAACTGATTATATATTGTGAATTTGGAACAAATGTGTTTGTTATTCCTCTATGATATTTGGACTGTTAATATGGTATGGTGTGCTATTGATTTTAATTTGAATATTTGCGGTGAACGAGGAACTTTAATTTTTGGGATCTGAGTTAAGCTTTTATATATATTTATTAATACTAAAATTAGAAATATTATTGGTATTTAGTAACATCAGAAGTAGAGATATTAATATTAAAATGATGAATTATTCTCATGTTAAAATCAATAATATTTTTTTTCTATGTAATATCTTACAAATACTAAGTCAAAAATATTTATAATTAAATATTCATTAATATAATATCAGAAATATTATAAGAAGATTATTATAGTATAAATCAATAAATACTTAACAATTTAAAACAAAATTAGTAATGTAATTTGTTTCAAGTATGATTTTTAATAAGTAATAATATCTTTTTTTATATATAATCAGTATCATATTATAAAATTTTTATTAATTAATTAAAGTTTTTAATGATCATAATAATATGTGATAACATATTGAATTAGACTTTTTTTTAAAGAATAAAATATCAAATATTTTTTTTCCTAACAAGAAATTTTTTTGTGGTCACTGTGATGTCTAAATATAACATATATTATTCTTTAACAATGAACCAGATCATTTGAGATAACTTTTACACGATTTAATAATTCAGACTAGAAAAAAGGGTAGAGTTAAAGGCTTTTTTTTATCAACTTTATCTTGTTTTTTTCAATTGTTTTTTCAATTTTTTTTTACTAATCAAGCCAATTGTCTTTAAACCAACAAATCAAGTTGATTGTTTCATATTACGATAATTTTTATATAATTTAATTTTAAATTTAACCAATCAAGTTGATTGTTTCATATTAGGACAATTTTTATACAATTTAATTTTAAATTTATACTAGACAATAAGTTTAGCAGAAAGTTTTTTCTATCAACTTTATTTTTTCTCATCAATTTCATTCTTAAAATTTTTTTGGGTAGGTTGGGTTATTTTTGGACCAATCAAATTGATTAGATCATGTTAAAACAACTTTTAAATAATTTAATTTTAAATTTAAATTAAATAAGAAGTTAAATTAAAAAGTTTCAAATTAGTAAATTAGACCAAGTTTAATAACAATGCTAAATAAATCTTTATAATTAGTTTTTTTTATATATTTAAAAAATATTTTAATTTGACCAACAACGTAAGACATAACTATAAACTAATTATCATATATATTAAATGATATGTAGGATAAGTATATTTTGTTTTTCTTATAAGCATTGAAAATTGTAAATTTAAGGTGCTTATAGAAAAGATTGTAGTTAGGATATTACTCAAATCAATTATAAATAGGTATCGGTATTAAAAATGTAGAGATAAAAAAAAAAGGAAAGAAAATAACTAAAACTTGGAATAGTGATTTCTAAATGAATTGAAACCTTTTGTGTTTATTTTCATCCGTAGCCAGATGCACCTTGCACCACGCATCGGATCCAACAAAATCCCATCAAATTTCTTCCTACGTTCAGCTTGAACCTCACCAAGTTGAAATCGCAAGCTTTAACTTACATTAACATTTAAGCTGTCGTGTAGGTGAACGAATTTGGATAACTAATTAATGAGCAGTCCTAAATCACTATTAGTAGAAATTTCAAATCGTATTCTAGACCATTGAGTTTCCTTAACTTGTTTTTTCTGATGTCTATATTATTATTAATTAATTAGGTAAATGCTACTTTGAGCGCACTAAAGCGTTTCTTTGAAGAATTAATGATTTGAATATTTAATATAACAAAGAACAAAAAGGGAGAAAACAAAAGGAAATAAAACATTTGTTCTTTACACCTTTTCATTCTAACATATCGTGAATTATAATATTTAATTTGAATTTAATCGATAAATAAGTTTAAATAAAATGGAATTTAACTCATTTTATTTTCATATTATACTTATCACTTCCATCTTATTTAAGAATTATAATATTTAATTGATAAATAAGTTTAAATAAAATAGAATTTAACTCATTTTATTTTTTATATTATACTTATCACTTCCATCTTATTTATATAAAGATATTTCAAATAAAAAAATAATTAAATGAGTATTTTGAAAAGCTAGTTTAACATTAATTTTTATTATAGTAAATTTGAAGTTCGCATTTGATTTATTTTTATAGATTGAAGAGAATCAGACACGACTGCTACTTCATGCAGAGACACTGGTAAGCAGACAAAGGAGTTCAAAAGAATAAATCTAGTTCTGAATCCAAACAGCTCTTTTATCTTTCTTTTTTTCTTTCAGGATTGTGAGGTTATCAGTCGGTGCTTAATCACAATCAGTCAATTAAGAAAATAGCTCACTGCTTTGATTCAGGCATTTCGCAAGCATTAAGATTTGTTTAATCCCTATTGATTTAAATTGTACTTAATACCTGCCCTGGGATATTCGCCATGTTTCAATATTATTTCCTTAGAAAACCTGCTCTAGGTTATGCCTTGTATGTTTCTGTTAAATATTTGATTAAGAACATGCAAGGCCAAATCATACGTTTTTTGTTATCGAATCTGGACCAGTGGACTAGGACAGCCTACCAAATCGTTGCAATAATGTAAAAACTTTTTATTTGTTGAAAAAACTATTTTTAAATGAGACGGAGTTGAATATTCGTAAGATAGTTTCAACATAAGTATCTATATTTTGAATATAAGGCATTCATGAATCATGAGAAGTTTAATTCTCACGTACTTTTTTAAAATAAAATCCAAAATGATAACACATGTAACAGTGAGTTTTCTTACACTGGTGAAAAAAAGTTCTGTTCAAATCCTCATTGTCTATATTGGACCAGGAAGATTGGTTATGCTAATATGGGTGATGTTGAATGATTGGAATTTGATGCTAACACAACAGCTACTGTGGAAATGGAGATCCAAATTATATAATCAAAGACAGGTTTAATGGATTGTAAAAGGCTTCAAAGATGCTAACAGCCTAACTAGTCAAAGATGATCATGGAGTTTTTGTTTTAAGTTTTCAAAAACAAAATAAGCATTGTTCTAAATAGGATTCTTCCCTGCTAATACATTCATTAACTTAATCCCATCTATAAAAGCTGTTCCTATGCTGTGTCCTTTACAGATTAATTGTGTTTTAGTAAATGAGATAATCCACATCACATTATTACTCTCTGTTTACACAACATGCTCCAATCATATCAGCTATTGTGTGAAGCAATGGAGTAATAAGGTAGGTAACTCAAGATTCCTGGAGTAAAAAAGCAGAAGACTCAAACAACACTAGCTACAATTTTGCTTCTATTAGTGGAGAAATGTTGGGTGATGAAGATAGAAATCTGTTTGGTACTGATGAAGGTGTTCCAACAGCAATAAATTCCAGCCAGAATGGCAGTGTCGCAGATGAGGAAACAACAACTTTACAATCCGAAAACACTAGATCAAGATCAAGCAAATCATCCTTGAAGACTGTATGGAGGCTGTCAAATAAATTAAAAGAATATTGCTCAGCCTTTTCTTATGGAAAGATAATTATTGCCTATGGTATATAAAAGGAACGCGAGTCTTTTGAGTGTGTTGCTTACGGTTCTCTGAACAAATAATAAACAAAAACCTTTCTTCTGCAATTTCAAAATCTGTTTATTTATAGATTTTCTTCTAATTCCAAATATTTGTTAATTAATTTTTGTTGTCCAAGTGCCAGAGTGGAAGTAAATGGACACTTGCCAACACTGTTTCTCAAAACATCTGTCTTTGCCATGCACAGTTGACTAACTTCCGTACAAATTAAGCACTCGTTGTTCATAAAAAAAATTCTGGAAAAATATTACAAGAATAGCGTTCGAATGGATAAAAATTGTTTAACTGGTTAATAGTGGAATTTCAGTCTTATTACTCCTTACTGCAATCGATCTCTGCAATGTGAATTAATTTGGTCTTCATGATGAAGCAGGATTTATATTTGTAGTAATTTACCATAAGTAGAGCCTACCACAACAAGTTTCTCTATTCATACTAGAATTATAGCCGGCCACAAGCCGACCACAAGTTTCTCTATGCATTACTGGTTAACAATAAAAAAATAATATAAATTATATATTAAAATTTTATTTAATAATTTAAATTTTTAAAATGAATTGATTTATTAAAGATTTAATAATCAAATAATTATAAGTTCGAATCTCATCTTTTTTATTTATTTGATAAAAGTTAAGTATAACATAATTTAAATTTTTGCAAGTTTAAAACCCAAAAAACTTATATTTAAAAAATATATTAAAAAATAATATAAATTACATTTTAAGTCTCATTTAATAATTTAAGTTTTTAATTAAATTAATTCTTTAAAAAAAAAAAAAAAAGCTGTTGCCACTGAACAACAAAATGTAAGCTATTAATCATCGAGTGTCTACATTCTGCTATCATAATTCTTCATTTCCTGTTCTTTACATCAAAGTCCCTTAGAATCTGAACATGCCAACTAATTTTAAACGGTATCGCTTCATTAATTGCCAGTCCAATTTTGAAATTGAATGGATGCATTTTCATTGGGTTTGAGAGGTTGGCATGCACAACAATTAGACAAAAAATAATAAAAGAGAATAAAAAACTAATCTTGCAAGACTTCATATGAATGCTTATAAGGTCTTACAATTAATGGGGAAAAAAAAACATTATTTTACGCATACTATTATTGATTAATGAATCAACTGCTTTCCGCACTTGATAAAATTATTGCATGGCATTCGCCATATATATCTTTCCATGCACACAAGAAAAATATATTCCATAATGAAAATAAACTTTGTCTAGTTAATTAACTTTGCTGCAAACTTTCCTGATTTCACCAGCTTTACCAGTAAGAACTTCAACCCTTCCCATTTTTCTCATGGAAACACCAAAGTCTTTGAAGAAAGTGGATCCATCGGTAGCAACAGACTGAAGTTTAACATAAGCTTTTGTGTAATTGTTGTCAAGGAGAGCTGCATCAGATTGGAAAAGTGCCCTTCTATTAGCAACGAGTTTATAATAGCTGTTGTCGAATGTCCTGACGCCTCCAGGATCCATTTCGACTAGCGTAATTTGATCTCCTGCCTTGCATATTTTCTTCAACCGTGTTATGTATTCTGAATCCAGTGTGGGATCAGTGTCACCCTTTCCAGTGAAGTTGTAAAGCCGAGAATCGAAAGAAGAGCAATGAGAAGTGCCAAGGGTGTGCGCACCTACGTGCCAGGAAGAATAAATAGAATTATTCAAGTTCAATTTCTTGTTTCAGGAATCTCTATGAAGAAAATGAACTTGAAATGTTTAAATACCTGAGAGCACTACAAGGTCCTTTTTGCTTAGGTTCTTAGAACGAAATTGTGTCAACAATTGAGAAATGTTTGCAAAAAATGGTGGCAGGTTTGTTAAAGGCTCTGAAAAGTTAGACACCCTTCCATCTCTTCTTCCAGTTTCAACTCGCCAGGATGGTCCCAAAGTCTGAGAGGATAATTTTTTGTTAAATACAAACATTTTGCTTGCAAAAGAAACTCTCTAATGAATTTGAAAGATATTTCTTACTGCGGCCGTGACATCTCTAGCTACAATGGCCAAGATATCTGCACAGGAAACCACTCCAGGGCAGTTTTTTTCTAACGCAGCCTTGACCCTGTCAATAACTTGATATCCTCGAAGGCTTAAATTTGGAGGTGAATCTTTTTCAGCTTGGCCAGTACTGGAGTTCAAAAGAATTGACGCATCACAACCCTGTAGACATATATAATTAGCTAGTGATCGTAAGGGTTTTGCTATAATTCAAGCAAAAAAAGCATAAACTGTTTCAGAATTTCATATGATCAGAAATGGATTCATGGCTTACGTACCCTAACAAAGCAGTCATGAAAGTGTAACCTCAACAAAGGGCCACTAAGGCTAGGAGCAACTTTCAACACTTGATCCATAACCCTTTTCACAATAGCTTCAGCTTTTGGACATGTATCCTTGTAAAACCCTACCTTCAATTGCGCATTTGCCGAGTTAAAGACAAATGCTAGCAAAACCAAATGAATAAAGATTAAACCTGAAGAAAGCTTTAAACTATCCATGTCTAAGAGACAATGACTATGTTGTGAACCTCAATTTCCTGATATGAGAACACAAGGACACATGCCAACTCTTTTATAACTAGCCTTGACACGCCGCTCATTTCAGGAAAAAGCTGTCATTACAAGACATTTGGTATGTTATTCCCGTAAGAATTAAACCAGTTAGATGATTTAATTTGATATTATAATCAAATGGTGGTGGGAATTATATTTTAATTTGATGTAGACTTAATTAATTGTTATAAGATCATGATGGTTCCATTTTTATTTTTTTAATATTAAGAAGAAAGCTCGACGATGATCCGTGACAGAGTAGGAATGTTGCATGCGATTGATATCAGTGGCTGGAATCAAAATTGATTTTAATTCCAGCTACCTTGTATCAGGCGGTAACATGTCCATGCCATCTAGTAGCTGGAATGAAAGTTTGATTTCATTGCTCAAAAGGAACAAATATTTTAATTCAGAAACATCCCAATTGGCCGTGGGCACGATGCATGGCGGCTTCTCTCAAATGCTATATGGTCCTAATTATGATTCAAACAAAGTTAGGTATATAGTGCAATTACGTCAGCTATGCTTGTCATGCTAATGACTAGAATTTTCCTTGGTTAATTTTGAAGTTAAGACATCATTGATCTCATTATCTCTTACTACTTCACATCATAGAAATCAACGTGTCCTGACCATAATTAATCTTCTGGGCTTGCAATAATATAGAAGAACAATTTTGTTTGATAAGGCAGAGGTATTCGTTTATTGAAAAATATATAACTTTAAGTGCGATTTATCGATCCAACGATACCAAAAAAAAAAAAATCCGATCTTGATGGCATATCTTTCATAATATTGGTATATTGTATTTACATGAATTTAACTAAATTTTTCGGAGTACTATTTTCAAAATTTAAATCTAAAAGATTAAGGAGTGAAGTATATCTCTTTCAACTAGCTCCTTGCTAATTAATATGTTTGTTGGATGGGACAAAACTTTTATTTTTTCTTAAATGAGATTTGGACAAATCTGTTTTAACAAATGCATGAATATATGTCTTTTTGTCTCAAACACACACGCCTACAAACACTTACTGGAATTAACTAATCCTAATTTGTTTAGAATATTTTTAAATTATTCTCTTAATTACAGCAACCATGTCCATCTGCTCCTTTGTCTAGCTCTTGCAGGCATGCTTTTATCTAGGTTGCATCTAATTAAAGAATCTTAAAAGACAGCAAACTAACCACTTTGATCATGAATATTTAATCTGAGGTACTAACCCTCCAAAGCATTCCATTATTGACTCATTTTTCATAAGAGAAGAGCATTACTCTGTAAGTTACTCATACTTTTCAACACATTTCTGTGTGTTTGTATTTCTGTGTTTATACACACATACACACATATATATAATGTGTGTGTATTCAATGGCACGACATACTATCTAAAGTACTTTTTAACTTACACGCACAAGTCAGTGATTTTAAAAAATAATCAGAAACAAAAATTCAAAAAGTGGTAGTGAAGTTTAACTCTCTTTTTTAATGATTTTGAAGGTAAAACTTGTTAAAAACATTAAGAACGTAATTTTGATTTTAAGTAAATTTTTTTTTTTTTTAGATTAACGTGGGTGTCCGGGTCAGATTGAGCGCATCATGACTAATCCCACGGATCCTGAAGCTAACGATTATGTAAACCTCTAATGGTCATCATATGAGCAACCAGATTTTAAGCAATTTTGATTTCCATTTAAAGTGCTTGAAGTTGTTGCCTCTTTATTCTAGTTGTTTCTTGGTATTTGTTTTTCATCAAATCACAAATATCCAAGATTTCTTAGTCAATCGATTGAAAAAGAAAACTCTTCATCTTGAGATCTTTTATTCATTACCCTTTTATCTTTGTTTTTTACGCATTTGTTATTATTGATCTTGATGGTGGTTTAATTATTTCCTGAAAAATAATTTGCCATAATTTTTTTAATGTTGGAATTGAACAAAGTTATGTTTGGTGTTGGTGTTTGATTCAACTATTTTGATATGTTGAAACAACTGTTTTGGTGCGCTGAAACAATGCTGCTACTACTTGACTTTCTGATAGAGTAATTTGTTACAAGGTGCTGCTGTTTAGGCTTCTGTTATGTCAAGTCTACTATACTTTGAGGTGCTACTACCAGAGGCTGTTATGACTATTGTTGTGCCAGTTTGAGGTGTTGATTCTTAAGCTGATGTTGCTGCTACTACTGAAGAGGTCCAGTATAAGCTGTTATTGCTGCATCATTATGGGAGATTCAAGGTGCTGCTGTAATGGTATTCCATCGCTTTCTTCTTTGCTTATGGAGAGGCAAGAAACAAAGAAGCAACAAACAAGCCACAGCAAGGCAAGTGCTATAAAAAAGAAGAAATCAAAAGGGAAAAATAAAACGAACTGCATTGGATCCAAATCTAAAGAGGCCCAGATCTGATGGTGAAACCTACCTCTTGGTTTATGCTATATTTTTTAGACAACTATTTGTTCTAACCGATCTTATTTATGAGAAAATTCTACGTTTTATGAAAAACAATTGTTCAAAATTTTATTTTATTAAAAAAATTCAAGACATTTTTCTAGCATACGTTAGTTTCTAATTTAAAGGGATTAAATGTGTCTAATCATGACTAAATATTCGCATACAGTATTTGCTGGCCAAAGATAAAAAATCAGAAATTAACTGGGCTTAGTCAGTGTTATATATGTCCCACTCTATAAAGGGACATATGCACACTATAATGGTTCCTTTTTTTTTTCTGAAATATTCGTACTTCTTTTGTTTATAAAATACTTCTTTATTATATATTTATTTATTTATTTGTTATTTTATTGTGCATGCATGCGTAAGGATATCACCAATAAGTACACTTGATTCATTAATATTTTAATATACTAATATTAAAAATAATTTTTTAAAAATAAAAAAATATTATTTTGATAAATTTTTAAATGAAAAATAATTGTTACCACACTGTCAAATACACCTTATATGTCCACAAGTTATAATTGTTTAAAAAAATAGATATGCAGGTTGATTTAATGTGTTTTTTACATAAAAAAATTTAAAATGTAAATTGAAAAATTTACATAAACAGCTAATTAAATAAATTGATAACTATTTTTTTAAATGAACAAAAAAGAGTCATTAATTAACAACAACAAAATTTAAAAAATAAATATAAATTAAGATATTCAATCACATAAAATGAAACATTCATTCTATTGTGGTTATTGAACTTATTTATTTAAATCAATAAATTCACAATCCAAAAAACCAATGACTTAAAAGATAAATACAAATAAAATTGACTAAATAAACTCATGCCACAAAAAATATTATCTAAGGTCAAACATATCAACAATATTATTTTAAAATGAATATTTAAAAAAATTAATTTGTATAATACAAAAAAAGATATAGATGAAATAAAAAGGCATGAAAAATGCATGATCTAACTAGTCATGAGATCAAGATAAATTCATAAATAAAAAATGAAGATAATCATAAAACCAATGCTAAAAAAAATTAATGCAGAATGATAAGATAGTATGAAGTTGAATTTCTAACAAATCAAATGTTGAAAGATGAAATAAAAAAAAAAACAATCAATTACATGAAAGGATCTAAAAATACATTAGGGTGAGAAAAAAAAACATTAATTAGATGGATAGAAAATTTCAATTGGAAGCTTAAATTGAATTGAAAAATAGCTATAATAAGAGGAAAAAAAATTGTCAAATTAAAAAAAATAATAATAAAAAATTTAATTGAAGTATAAAATTAAAAACTAAAAATACTTCAACAACAACACCAGAAAAAAAAAATAAATGAATATAAAAATAAAAAACAAAAAAATATGAGAAATTGTAATTGAATAGGGATGACAATTTAATTTGAATCTGATGAATCTCAACCCAATTAACCTAACTCTAATGAATAAGTATTTTTTGGACCCAATAAATAATAAATAGAGTATGGATATTGTGAAACTCAGCTTAAAACTCACCCGAATCTAACTCGAAACCCATCCAAATCTAAACTTGCCCCAACCTAAAGAATAAGAAGAAGCTTTGAAAGGAAGACAATTTTATCAAGAGTTTTTCTCTTATGTGTTCCTCTCTATACTTATTAATTATGCATTTAATTATTTATAGGTCTTAAGTTCAAGATAATCAAGGAATTAAACTAAGTAATGAAAGATCTAATCTGAAAATGAAAAGTTATTTTACCAATTTAATTAATCAACTATTTTTTAACAAATAGACCAAGTCCTAGCCGATAGACCAACTTTTTTAATTTTTTAGAAAAAATCTAAAAATCTAATTTATTTTCAATAACAAAAACTATAATGTGAACCTCAATTTTTTTATGAGGAACGAGAAAACATGCTAACTCTAGCGTATTTGAGAGTGTAGTAGCTATTATTTTTCAAAGTATTTTTCACTCGAAAATACATCAAAATAATATTTTTTATTTTTAAAAAAATTAATTTTGATATCAACATCTCAAAATGATCTAAAAACATAAAAAAATATTAATTTTAAGTAAAGAAAAAATAAAAAAAAATTAAATCTTTTTAAAAGTACTTTTAAAACAAATAGTTATAAACGATTTTATTGGGGGCGTGAAGGAACAGTTAACACAATCAAAATCTGAGCAATTTGATTTGTGCATGAACAGTTGACCTTGTGGCAGGCGGCAACATGTTCTTGCCATGAAAATTTAATAATTCCTTGCTCAAAATGAGCAATTTTTTTCATTCAAAAACATCCCAATTGGTCCTCGACACGATGGTGGCATCTCTCATATGCCATATGGGCTAATTAGGATTCTAACAAAGTCAGATATATGGTGCAATAACGTCAGGCCAACGGCTGCTGAAATTTTTTTTTGCTGACATCTTTGATCTCATTATCACTAACTGCTAAAATTGTACTTCTAATCATTGAAATCAACTTGTCCTGGTCATAATTAATCTTTTTGGCTTGCAATAGTAAGAAAAGAATATAGTTTAAATCTTTAGAAA